ATTAWGGAAAGTGTTTGCTAAAAAAACCCTGAAGAAGTTAAAAGTTGACAAGACGAAGTTTTCATGTGTGGGATCCAGCWCTGCATGTTAATAGATAAGATTGTGCATAAATACATGGATCTGCACAACAGAAAAATTCACAGATGGACTGTAGGACTGCATCCTTACTTACTGTTTCTCTCACTTCTCACCTGTTATTACTAAAGAGAAACTCTCTTTTAATTATTAAAAGAGGGTTAATTGTTGTCGAATTTCTTCATTTTTTTGTAAGTTTCATAATATTAGGTGTGTTTTGCTTATTTTTTAAAGCCTCCTCCTCTGGAATTTGAGGCGAGTATTACCTTCCATTTAAAGCAAACCAAGAATTAGGAATTTTCTAGCTCTTGTCCTTCTAAAATAAAATTATGGAATAGTTCTCAGATGCATGAATAAGGATCAGAYTAAAAGCCAACAGATAACTTTTTTAAACATTTCATATTTTTAGTTTGGCCACGCCTRGGTTTTTGAGTGTTTAGTTTGAAATCCTGAAACTCCTTTTCCCCTCTATCTCTTAGTACTTCAATGCGGATGTTTTTTAATCAGATGCTCGTGTTTTAAACTTTAAATGGATGTTACAAATGAGGATTTATCTGGGCATAAAAAAGAATTAGTTTGTTTTAATTTTAAATCACTTTTGAGGGCAAATTGCAATTTGAGACTCCAGATTTTTTAAGACATTTTTCAGCCCCGGTAAAGGAAAACACKTAAAAGATGCTTACTGAATTTCCTAAAGTAGGCATATTTTGCCAAGTCCTGAATATCCTATTGATTATTTCCCTCCAAAATTGACATGAATATGCAGGATGCATGAATATTTTCAGCAAGTTTAGWATTTCTTCAGGACATACGCAAGAACTCCGCATGTCTTAGAGCGAGTCATTAATTTCAGATGCAGAGGGAGCCTCTGGAGCGCTGAAAGTCTGCTGGTTCACATCTGCCTGCGTTTTTTAAAATGGATATAAATGTATATATCTATATATATATTTATGTCCTGGAGACACCAGCACTTTTTGCTGTGTTCTTTGTGTCTGACAGCGGCAGCGCTGTCTCCTGCTTAAGATAYTGGTGGGTGTTTAAGTTATGATGGACCAGGAGTGCCGTGGGYTTCACGGTGACAGGGGTGAGGTGCAGAGCTTTTGGCAGATGTGGTGTGCTCCGAAAAGCACCGATGTTGTCCAGGAAAAACCGGGATGAAGTGGAGACAGAGAAAGAAGAATGGTTCTGTGTGATGTGGTCTGAAACCTCAGGTGTGCTGAGGGTGTTGGAGGCACGACTTGGGTCAGGTGCAGGCCATAGAGCCAAGAGAATGGAATTATATTCCCAGACTATCCATGTTTTGTGCTGGACAAATCAGCACATCGAGGTAGCTGAGTTGTCTGGAACAGCGTGGAATATTTTAGCTGYTTTTTTGGGGAGCGCTCTGAGAGCTTCCTGGGAAAGGATTGCAGGAGGTGAYGCAGCATGAAGGGGCAGCCTGGTTGTGTCTGGCTTGGTTTTTTACACACTGAGGGCAAAGTGCATTTCTTTGGAGGAGGATAAGTTCAGAAATGTCAAAAATTCAAATTTTAAAAGCTGAAATCTGAAGCTCACCAGTGGATGTAAAGCTGATAAAATGGCGGTGACGCAAAAGCTCAGGTTGTGCCAACATCCACGCTGGGACTTCTGTTTTTCACAGCACTGAAAATTTTTGAGTAATTTCCAGGTGTCCACCGTGGGTGGATGTTCACAGATCTGGTTAAGAAAGCCATTTGTATTTTTAGTCCAGAAAAACAATGTCTGTGTGCCCGAACCTAGCGGGAAGAGCTGAGGCACCCAAGGCTTCCGCTGGGGCAGTTTAAGCGGCCTGCGAATATTTCACCCTCTATCTAACAAACGGGTGAGGAACAGTTTGATTTTTCTGAGCAAACTAAAATAACCTTTCCTAAAAGAAATCTCTGTGTCCAAGCTGGGGAGTGGCACAGCTTTTAGCCCCGCTGCTCTGAACGACACAAGTTTGAGCGCAGACAAGGCCCGAGAGGTTTATGGTGGAACTATCAGTGGGGGAAGCGATTTTTCCTTAGACTGATTAAAATTCTTTGGGCTTTCTGTTTGTTTGTTTTTAAACACCTATTTAGCTTTTAATTAACATTTAAGGGAAAGGAAGCTGGTTAAATATTCAATACCTCCTCCCTTTCAATTAAGGTAGAACAGTACGCAAGGCGTGATGAGGCCTCTGGGAAGTATGGAAAAACGGAGAAGAGCAGGCTCCTGATTATCATTTTCAGGGGGACAGGAAAGGTGAAACCCATCTGATTATTACTGCTGTTAACAATAATAACGTTGAGACTATTATTTTTTTTTTTTTAACATCAGAAAGCCATTTGGAATCGCAATTATTCTTTAAAACCGTATATCCTGTCTCCTGGCTTTAAACACCTCCATTTTTCCAGTCCCATTCTTTACTTATTTCAGATGAAAGGATGGAGGATTTTCTAACAGGCCTTTTCAGCAGCTTTGTAGGGAGGCTGCAAATGCTGGAGAAGTTATTCTTCATGCTGCATGCTCTTGTTTTCATTTTGATGCAGTTGTTTCTGTCTCGGCGAGTCAGCAACCTCAAGCCATGCGGCTCTGGAAGCTCAAGCGAGCAAGTGGGAAAGAGTTTTATGATCACCATAATCCATTCTCTCCCCCTTTCCCTTCCTCCTCCTTGAAAAATCCACTTACCTCCTGTCTGTGAGCCTGTTACCCCTCAAAATTGCACATAAAACACTCAGAAAAGGACACCTCTATGGAAAAAATGGATTGGGAATATGCTGGTATTTGTAATCAAAAAATTCACCCTTCCTAAACTTGAATTCCTCCCTTTTGATTTAGTGCACCATAATTTATCTAACAAAATATTTTGGTTTTTTAGCCATCCTGTTTAAAAAAGAATTATGCTAGCTAAAAAAAAAAAACAAAAAAAAACATTTTACATTGTGGAAACTACTCAAACCACTGCCCTAAAGGTGATATATTTTTAAGCTTGCTGTATCTTTCACTGTAGTGGGACGATTACCTGCAGAAAGTAATTTTTTTTTTACCACATATCCCACAAAAAAGATTTTTTTAAAAAATCACCACTTTACATAAACAAGTTTTTTAAAATGGAATTGCTGGCACCAGACACACAAGTTGTGTAAATGTATGTGCCTGAATGAGTTTGAGTTTTTTTAAAGGAATGAAGAGAGAGGAGATGCTAAAATGCAGAGCTATTGGGTTTCATAGACTATGACTTCAAGGTTTACTGGATATAGGATTGCATYGATTTTTAAAAACAGAAACAAATGTTTTGCAAAAAGATTTCTGACTGCATCTATTGCAAGACCTTCCAATTCAACTTTAAAATTAGCCTATTGCTATGACACAATAATTTTTAAACTAACTGTTGTCTGTTGTGTCATAACCTATTCAATGCTATGGATTTTTATTTTTAAAAAATAAGCAAAACCAAATGAAACATCAAAACCCAAGATATTTTCTCCACGATCCTCTCTTCCAAATACATAAACACATGAATAGATTTATATCTGTGTCTCTTGTGATTACTTATCAGTAGAGTTAATGATGTGTATTTACTGGCTGGACTAAAACAAGAATTAATCCAATTAGTTCAATAACTGGTTATTTACCAAATACTTTATTAATTACTGAGACTCCATTTCTGCTTCAGCTGTAAATAACAGAAAATCCCACATCAATTTCAGCTGAAATGGTATTTTATTCTTTTTTTTAAAAGCTTTTCATAGCTTTTTGTTAAAAACCCAATTCATAGAAGTCACAGRAAAAATTTTGCAGTTGCAGAGGGCAATGAGAAAAACACCTTTTGTCAGAAGGTTCAGTTTTTAAGTCAAACTGTCATTCAGGTAAACTTAACAACTTGTGATATTTTAAAAAATTAAATTTGTAGACAAAAAAAGGTGGAAGGAAGTAGCATGTATATAACTAGGAATAGCCAAATTCTGTGATATAGGAAATTCTGTGCTATAATACGATTAAAAGTTGATGTGAGCAACCAAAGACAGAAGTCCCTCAACTGGCTGACCTCAGAGCTGTATCCTTYAGATGCAAATACCACTAATGTCAATTTTATCTCAGCTGGATATAAATTATATCCAGTTGGAACACACCCCTGCCATGGAGTTCTGGAAGATGATAAAGCCGAAGAGCTGATGAAGGCAAAAAGACATTTTTTTTGCAGTGAATTTTGGAACAGGGTCCTGCCCAGACAGAGAGCATCGGCTTCCCGTTGAGAGGAGAAGAGATGAGGCTGTGGAGGGGAATATTTCCCTTTTCTCTGCCTGCTCCCTGTTTTTCTCTGATGAGAGCATCTTCAGGAGGGTTTAGAGGGAAAGGAGGAATCATCTCAGCAAGAAGAGCTCAGCTGTTGTCTGCAAGAGGCCGTGCTGTAGGCAGACGCTTCACCCAACTAGAAAATATGAGTTTGCAGATATTTGTGCTGCGGACCCAGAAATTTGTAGATAAAGCCTGATTTTACTTTTTCTTTATATTTTTCCCCCTTTTTTTCCTCTCTAAATTCTTTGAAGTGGATTCATAGGAAGGACAGCACTGACAAAAATCACTATCAAATAGATCAATAACTTTTTTCTTTCTCTTTTTTAAGGAGAACACACACAAGAAACCAATTCACCTCATTCTCTGAAGAAGGATGTGGAAAATATGGGGAAAGGTAAAACAAATARGGGCCTCTTACATTATAAAACTGCTCTTTGTTTTAATAGAATATGAGGATAATAGGGGGCACTTTTGTTCTGCACCATATTTTAAGCTTGTCAAGTAACATATGAATAATATATGGACCTTTGGGTGGATATAATTGAGATTAATGCATATATATCAATCAATACATGACACTGTAATATAATACTTTAAAATAATATATTACATTGATTTATATTCATGGCTTTCTGCACAAAATCTATGGTAGGTCTATGCAGCACTTTTTTTTTTTTTTTTTTAATAAGCGCTAAAATATTTTGTCTTAGAGTAATGAATTGCTCTGCAACTCTTCTTTCAAGAATTATTTATACAGATTATCAAAACCACTTTTTCTCTTTGTTAGAGGAGCTCCAGAAGGTTTTGTTTGAGCAGATCGACCTACGGAGGAGGCTGGAACAGGAATTCCAGGTGTTGAAAGGAAAYGCGTCTTTCCCAGTCTTCAGTAAGACACAAAATCTGTACTTTTGGTGTTGTGTGTGCCATTGTCAGGCTGATAAAATTCAGTTTTGTGACCACGATCTTGGGCTTAGTTCTGCTGGGGCTGGGTTGGACAGGGTTGTGTCCCTGGGGTTGAAGTGAGGGGTTTTTTTAAGGTTCCTTCCATCCGAAACCATTCCTTGATTCTGCGCTGACACTTCTGCTGTGGTGTTGCAGCTGCTCAAGCAAGCCTTTTTTAGGGAAAATACAAAGTTGGATGTTTGTTTTGGTGTATATTCTGCTAATTTTGGGAACACTGGACACAGTGAGTAGACAGAAACGTGTCTGGGGCCTCATGGGGTACAGTGGTGTTGGTGGTCTTAGACAACATCCCAGGGGCTTTTGAAGATAAAGTACTTAAGACTCACTTCCAGGAGGTTCTTAATCCTCATTTTCAGGAGGTTCTTGCTGATGCTGGAGWACTGGTTTGGCCTTTTTAAGGAGTAGAAACACCTGTTTGGATTTTTCCCCTTGAAAGAGGCCATTCGAGTTGGCCCTTTCACGGCAGCTGGTGAGCAGGGTGCTGCTGCTGTCCAGGGATGATGGAATGTGCAAATCTTAAATAAAACGAAATGGGCACTTAGCAGGGTTTTTGTGGAGCTACCAGAAGGTTGGGCTGACTGCACAGGGATATGTAAAAAGACCCCTTTGGCTGGGACCYTTTGAACGATGCTGAAGCAACGGCAGAAAGATGATTCCAGGAGAAATTGCAACTAGACCAGGATGATCCCACTGGAAAAGGTGGGAACACAGACAGCATTTTCCTGTTTTTTGAAGAAATTATGCTTTTTCTATTTCTGTAACATCGGATAGGCAAGATCAGGGAAGCAAGGAAGTGCAAAAACTATGAAAATTCCTCCGTCTTTAGCCCAAATACTGAAATGTGCGGACAGCTCCATAAATAACGAAGAGTAGCTTGACATGTTACAGATATTAATGAAAGGAGCATAGCCTCATCCTTCAGAATAAATCCAGTCATTGCTTGGGTTTGCAGTGAGGTAATTTTCAAATAATTCGTGGAGATCAAAATGCTGCCGTGCGGTATTGGTGAAATGGCATCTTGGACTTTTGCCATTCAAGTCTCTTATTTATCCTTTTGTTCTTCTGCAGTAAAATTAATGCTCTGTCTTTGCCATGTAAATAAACGCTGCAATTAAACCACATGAAATACAATTCAAATAAAAGAAAAGAACAAGCACGGCCGACCAAGGAAGTGGTGACTGCTCTGTGCTGGCTTGAAAAATATGTGGTTTCAATGCACCACAAAGTAGTGGTCAATTTTCTTCAGGATTAAAATAGAAAAYAGATAATGTGCTATAAACAATATCTACAAGTGACCGTAAAGCCTATTTACAGATTTAGATTTACCAAAAAAACCCACCCCTCCTCCGCATGTAATAAAACAAGAGAGGAGTGTCTTTGTAAAGCAAAGTAGTGTAAATCCACGTTAAGGGTGTTTTGTCCTCTAGTGCAAAATGTGTTCTAGCACAAGTGAGGGGGGCTGTTCCAGGCTGTTGCTGCTGAAAAGGGCTGTTGCTTTAGGTCAGGCATTAGAAACTCTTTTTCCAAGATTCCCCAGTTAAAATCTGCCTCTGGTGTCTTGGGTAGGAAGCAGCCAGGGAGAGAAGTCTTTGGAGATCCAACTAAAGRAACGTTAAGGTAAAATTTAGATTATATGGATGGAGTTATTGTGGCTTGGAARCACCTGAGGCTGCAGGAGAGACCGACAAGCAGGCAGGTAACAGGGTTTTTATCCGTCAAGTCCTGCAGCATCAGCCATGGAAATGGGATCTCTGTTCCAGCCCTAGAGCTGTCGAGGAAAAAAGCACATTTCCAGGGTCATCTCTGATTACTCTSCCTGTCCTTTGCCCTGTTTGGATAWATAGGAAGACTTTGACTTTWAAGTCTTTTTAGWGTTTTTKAAATGGGGKATAACTCATCCCYGTTTCAGSTGGGAGGCAACACATGAGATGTGGAAGGCAATATTATTTCTGTCTAGAAAATGCTTCTGTCACGTTATCTGCAGTTRACTCCAAAGCCACCTTTTTTGGGTCTTCCACTTGAAACTGAGCACATTTGGGGTGTTGTGCCTTCACAGCCACTACCCACAGCAGGGATGTGCTGTAAACGGTGTTTGGTTTCAGAGTTCTCATCGTGGAAATCGCTGTTAAATTAGAATTGAGCTTATCTGCAAGCTCTCTCAGCAGTGTTACGCTGCTCTCTTCTCTGTGGCTTCTTGTACCTGCTCAAAATACAGGCGGTGATAATTTTTGAAACAGCAAGGCCTTGTCTTCCACTGTATTTTTCACATTGCTGTCATATTTAAACGCTGCAGGTGAATTTTTCCTTTGCCTTTAAGATCTCTCAATGCAGAGATCACTCGAATAAAACAAAATAAGGAAAGATCAGATGACATGAAAAAAAAAACCCCAAAATATTTGCTGTCCTGATAGAAATGCAAGCACCACCAGTGACAGGGAAGGATACCTTCCCTGGTTTGTGCCCTTGGTGTCTGCTGCTCCGCGTTTTGTCCGTCTGCGTTTAAACAACGTAGCAATAAAATGGTGGAGACACAGTCTGGRTACTTAAAGTATTTAATTCTGTGTTAAGAAAGCTATTTAAATATTCATATCTTTTCTCCTGGGTACTGCTTATGGCTTTGTCTGTGAGCATTTGGATAAATGCTGCTGGAAAAAAAACGCTGTCCTTACCATTAACACCCAATTTCTGCTGTGAGCTTGGACATTGGCTGTGAGGCAGAACTGAGCAAAATTCCTGAGGTTTTTTTGGAAAGGTGATGAGCCCATGAAAAGGCAACTGGAAGGAAAATATTGTGGAAAAAAGGAAAATTACTCCTTATAGCCTACGCAGAGTGAAGCAGGAGGACCTCAGTTGTAACTATCAGCTTTTAGTGACCAGGACAGGAGGAGTTACCTTTCTGTACTGCGTGGTTTTTTGAGAGGCTGGGAAAAGAGGAATTGCAAATCTGCTTTATTTTTGTTGGCTTACTTTTCTGTTCAGGTCATAGTAGAGGGAGTAGGCTCAAAAGTTCTGTGGGAATTTACTTGAAATCTGAAGACCTTTATGGAGATGATGTCACCACGTCCTTTTCTCCATGGTTCCTCTGGCTGATGGCTTCAGCCTGCCAAAATTTCTTACTGTTTCTTTGTTTCATTTCTCTTTTCCTGCCTCCTTTCCTTTTAAACAACAACTTTAGCTTGTCATTCAGAGAGGACAAAGTTCTTGTCCACAGTGATACAGCAAAGAGGGTGATAGAGCTCTGTCCCCTTGTACTTTCTGCCAGGACAGGCTTGTTACTGGAATCAAAATGGCACTGGTTGGAATGGATTTTCTTTCCTCTTCCATTTAAGAGCCCGTCCTTGCAGCTCTCCATCAGTCAGTTCTTCAAATTATTTACTTCTCGTCAATAGTTTTGTTTGTACTTCTCTTTTTCCCACCCTCCAACAGGAATGTTGTGSAATACAGAGCATCAGTTAATCTTACACTGAATTAAGTTTTGTCAGAAATRGTTATTTAGGAGGAAAATCAGGGAAGGAGGATCTACTGGAGCAGGAAGGCTGGCCTGTGCTATAACCCAGCTGCCCAAGATCTCTCTCTCAAAGATTTTTTTCCCTTCCAAGTTCCACACCAGCGTTTACGGGGTTTGAGTTTTGCTCAAAGCCGTTTGTGGTTTGTAGCACCGCGCTACAAACCACAAATCAAACCCCGCATCCTTGAACGTGTTCTGCTCTCACACATTGGACATCGCTGTTGATGTCAACAGATTTATGCCAAAGCAAAGGGGAGCAGCTTCTGCTCTTCTCTTCAGGGCTTGCAGAAGTTTGACTAATGACTGCAGAGCCTTGCCCRTGGAGGAAAATAGCTGGGAATAAACACTAGAAACACAAATTTAGCATCCCTCATTTTCTCAGCTGGGAAAGAGCCATATCTAATTTTTCCACATTTGTTGTGTTGTCAGTAGTGTCTCCTATTAGTTAAGTTTTTGTTAGGCATATGCTTTAATTGAGTGAAGGACTTCTGAAATGCTTTATGATTCCTCGGTAGTGACCGGGTTTGATTTAATTTGATTTATGTCAGTTCTGCTGAGTGGTCTCTGTTCTAATAATTGCACCTCCGTTTTCCCCCCTCTCATACAGATAATTTTCAAGATCAGATGAAGCGGGAACTGGCGTACAGAGAAGAAATGGTGCAGCAGCTACAAATCGTAAGTTTGCTCTCCCTGCTAAAAACATTCTGAGCTGCTGCTTTGTGGTTTTTTTAAGCGCACACCTCAAACTTTTCCTTTGTGAGCCATGCAGATGCGCCATTACCGAGCTCCTACTGCCTTGTGCTCAGCAAGAGGTAAACACGCAGTTCTCAGCTGGTTTAGAGCCTAATTACCTGGAGATTTACTTTCMTACAGTAACCAGATGGGTCTTCATGTTTCAACTAAACAAAATGTGTTGACTCAACACRGAGAGAGGGAGACAGAAGCAGGGAGGAGTGAATCAGTAAACCTTAAGCAGTTAAACGTTTCYACCTCGTGTGAGCTGCCAAGAGGTGTGTTTCAGCCCTCGGTAGGGAATCTGCTCAATCGCAGCTTCTCACCAGCAAATAAACCTCGGGATGTGCYTTTTTCTCATTTCAGACACTAGAAGAAGTGCTTAACTCAGCAGTAAAGGATCAAGTTGCCAAAACACAGCTCARCGCAGGCACACTTTACTGTTGGGTCTCTTGCTTGTTATTCTAAAMCCAAGAGGGATTTTGCCTGTGTGTTAGTGCAGCTCTAGACCATCACTTTCAGCTGTGTTGTTTTGAAAACTTGACGTTCTTAATCCGGTAGGAGCAAAGGGGCTGGAGCACGGGAAGCTGTTTCACTCTCAAATAGTGCTTGTGTTTAGTGTTTTGGTTTCAAGAGCAGGGCACAGTGAGGCTGTCAACTATGCCTGCTTTGCTGGTGTTTTCTCTGTGATCAACTTGACATGGTTGGTTTTTGTTTTTGTTTTTTTTTTGAGGCAAGTTTGCCAAATATCCCCACTTTCCTGAATCAGCCCTGTGCTCCAGCATCTATATTTTCCTTCCACTTGTCACAGGGCCCTGGTGCAGAGAAGGCATTGCCCAGCCTCCTGGTACTGTCATTTTCTAATTGATGGGTTGGGATGTGAAAGTGAAGCTGAAGGCCAGGATTGTCGAACTTGTGCTCTGATGTTTGGAGGCGTTCAGGACTGTCCTTATTTTTAGAGCTGCCGAATGTTCACCCGTCCCCTCCCTGCTGACTTCAGGGATTTCAATGAGACGTGGAGGGTGTTTGAAAGAGGTTGTTTGTGGGGGAAACTCCAGCCTAGAACATCTAGGGGTATTTTTTTTGCAGGTGGTGTCCACTCTTTTCCTTTAATGTGTCCAGGTGTTACTGTGCTCCCCTTTGTCTCTCTAGGCCAGGCAGGAAATTTGGCTTGGCCTGTGAATTTTGTTGTCACAGAATATGCTAATTATGGCACCACCCTGAAATGCACTTTCTCTGCTGCTTTGGACTCGAGACAGGTGACCAGTGGGATTTCCTGAGGCAAAGCATTGTTAAGCACAAAATTTATGGGTCCAACCCAGCCTTTATYTCTTGTTCTTGGAGCTGTGCTTGTACTCTTTATCTCTTGAACTTGGAGCTGACTAACTCTGCCTCTCAGGGAGAGAATGGGTCACCTCTGCATTCACCTTGTGGTCCAGTTGGTCCAGTTGTAAAGTTTTTTTCTGAAATTGGATATCCCAGACTTCCAGAGAGCCAGCTGTGGTGGTTTTCCTGATTTTCTTGAGCAGGAAAAGAAATATGATCAAGAAATTCACACCCTTTTCACTTACTGACACGTGCTATGGACAGACTAATAGTCATTTAATCTTTAAACAGAGCTGTCTGTATGCACTTACAGAAGATAGTTTCAACATTTAATGCACTGCACCAACAACTCAGGACCTCTTCACTCACTACAGCAGCCTGGGTTTAATCAGTATTAACAGAAATGTTACCAAATCATCAGTAAGTCTTCATTCTTATATTTGTGGGCTGTGATCAGTGATAAAAATATGTTTGCATGAAGAACAGAGAGGCTGCTGCAAATAATGAATGTGTGTTTAAGATGGGGGCAGAAATCTTCAGAGATGTTTTGGCTGATAACTGAGATGGAGTCAGCACTTTTGAGGTGATAATCCCTGCAGTTGCTTTAATTCATTCATGTGAACATATTGTGTATGTTTATATCTAGAATTAAGGTTAATGARCTGAATGTGGCAATGATAGCACTGCTTTGGCCTTCCTGGGTTATGGCGTGGATGAATTAAAGCTTTTGGTGCAGAATACCACCAAAAGTGTGGCTGCTTTTGGTTTTCTGTTTGGTTGCTGCTGTTTTATTTTTAACAGGGGCAGTTTAGGCTTTTCTTTGTACCTGAGATGATACACTATTACTTTAACARGGCTTTAACCTAATTTTCTTGTTAACATAGAAGTGTAAAGACAAGAGTAAAAAAGAGCAATACACACTTAAATCTTAGTTTTACTTGCATCTTTGTAGGTGTATGCCTTTGTAGTGCTAAACTCAAAACTTACTGCTGTAACTAGGCAGAGAAGTTTGGCTTAATTGCTTTTAAAAATTATTTTGCAAACAATACCAATGCTCAGAGTCAGGATTTTTTTTGGCTCTACTCACTCCAGAAGAATTATACAACTTAAATTAGTGCTTTATTAATATCCCTGGAGTGATTTAACATCCGTTTGGATGCGGCATTTTTGGACATGGGTTARTKGTGGGCTGGGGAATGAYTGGACTTGATGATCTTGGAGGTCTTTTCCAGCYWAAATGATTCTGTGATTTCCTGATCCCCTGTAACTGTGGGTACCAGGGGCAGCTTTTGCTAAGTAAATTGTTTCACTCCCTCTAAACTGAGTAATCAGACTTTCAAATAAGATGTCTTGTTCGGTTTTGGGGATGTCTGGAATACAAACAGCCGCACCAAACCACGGGAAAAGATTTAACCAAAYATGACTGCATTTGAAAACTTTCTGGCGCAAACACCCACTGCAGCCTGGCGTGCAGCTCGTGCCCTGTACCCGGGCGGTGCTGAACGCTGTCCATGACGCGTTTTGTCCCCGATTTTGCGGAGATTTGTCCCCGATTTTGGGGAGATTTGTCCCCGTTTTGGGGAGATTTGTCCCCGTTTTGGGAGCGATCCCTCCCAGCGCGGCCCGCGGGTGCCCTCTGCCGCCCTTTGGCCGCCACTGCACCTGCAGCGGCCGCGGGGCGATCATTCCGCGTTAAAAACGGGTTAAAAACCGGGCTGAGCCAATGTGGGGTCATTCTGCTGCTCTGCCCGCTCCGGAATTAAAAATTAACAATATTTTCTGGCTCTCCGAAAGTCAGGAGTAAGGCTCAGGTCACTGGGAAAACGGGGTGGGTCCTGTTCTCCTACATCTTTGGTTCTGGATGTTGGGTTTTTTTGGACACAGCCTGGCTTAGGAGGTGGCTGGAGCAGCAGGCTGTGGTGTGGCCATGAGTTTTGATGAGAATCATGGAATGAGAAATGCTGGAAGAGGCCACTGGAGGTCGTCAAGTCCAACCTCCCTGCTCGATCAGAGTCTCCCAGTCAGCAAACTCAGAACAGTTTTCCAGGCAGGTTTTGAATACTTCCAGTGAGAAAGATCCACAACCTCTCTGTGCAGACTATTCAGGTGAAAAATTTCTTCCTGATGTTCAGGTGAAACTTCCCATGTTTCAGTTTTCAGAGTTTTCAGAGTTTCTGGAGCAGTTACTGGGAAGTTTTGCAACCTGTTCGTGCCAGGCTCTTGTTCTAGTGCTAACAAACAAACAATCATAATATACAACAAGAAAATGGATCTCAGACCACTGAACGCATTTTTCTCTTCCTCCTCTTGTAAAAAGTGTTGTGTCCCAAATTGGCCAAATACAGGGCTGGAGATGGAGATAATATATATAATACGGATTTAGCTGTGGATCCAGTTGTGCCAGGGGAGGCTTAAATTGGATATCAGGAAAAAATTAATTCACTGTGAAGCACTGGGGTCAGCTGCCCAGGGCAGTGGTGGAGTCCCCACCTCTGGAGGGGTTTAAAAGTTGTTTGGATGCATCACCTGGGGACATGGGTCAGTGATGTCCTTGGCAGTGCTGGGGAATGGTTGGACTTGGTGATCTGAGAGAACTTTTCCCACCTAAATGATTCAGAGATTCTGGGAATCATCTGGCTTTTATTATGGAGTTGTACAGAAGGTGAGGAGGAGCTGCTGCCCAGCAGGATGTGGTGAATTCTGACATGACACGTATGTGGTATGGCCTTAGAAGAGCTCACCTGCCTTTAGAGTTTTTGATTTCTGTCCAATGAGACCAGAATTCACCTGCTGGGACAGCCAGCACCCTGCAAGTATCGAGTCAAATCTTGCCTGAGACTGTRTCTGACACTGCCTTCTGAGCAACTGTGTTAGTGGAACAAATTTTAAAGCCAYGAACTTTCATACAAGCTGCACAGTGAGAGTAAAAGATCATCATCAGCATTGCCAGCATGATGATTTTTATCCTTTAATGTTTTCATGAACCTCTCTCAAACATGGCCACAGGGATGTAAAACACCAAGCAGGAAATTTAAACCTCCTGGAAACTGTTAATTTTCTCTCAGAGGTCCCTTAGATGTATTTTGTGGGTTCTCAGGAGCATTGGCCTCAGTGGTGCCCTATCCACCATGAAAAGCTCAGGTGGTGTTCATCATCCATTGTAGATCATCAGGAAATGATCAATCCCACTGATTTTACATGGAGGTAAAAGGTGACAGGTTTTTGAGATGTGTTAGAAATGTGAAATGCTCAGGCAGGCCTTCATCTTTCCAGATTAAGTGAAAAATGTTGTTTTGGTTTTGTTTGGGGTGTTTTAATTAGGTTACCCTCCTGTGAACTGACTTCCTCCTCACTATCCTCACTTCGGGCTGATAATAATGTTCAGGGCTCAGAACTGGATCCATCTGGAACTYCTCCGTGTTTTATGGCTTTCTGCTCTCAGTGCTCCTTTAAATCAACTCTGTTCTTCAGAGCCAGGCAATAAAATAAATCAGGAACCATCTCTCTGCAAAACCCATTTCCATCTCTGCGTCATCTTTCACCCTGATCTTTAGAGATTGACAAGGAATGTTTAAAAGAAGAAAGAAACCTACCATGTGGTAATGTTGGTAAATCTTCAGAGGCATGAGAGCACGTTCCTCTGGGTCACACTGTAATTCAGAAGAGCACCAGTAGTTTTAATTCCTATTTTACATTGTTTATGGAAAGCTGGTGCTTTTGTACAACGAGCRTATTCATTATTCAGACAAGAAACATCCACATTTTTGTGCGTGGAGGGCTCGGTCTCTGCGTGCCTGTCTCCATTCTCAAAAGCAGGGGATGGGAAATGGCAGTGCTTCAGTGCCATTTGTGATTTCTGTGCTCTGCCTCAAGTGGTGCAGCTCCGACGCTTGACCTTGGCGAGAACACAAACAGTTGTTCAGCACAATGGCTCTCGCTTTTCTTGAGTGGCATCTTGTGCTCAAGTGCCTGYTCACAGGCACACACACAATAACAGGTAAAAGAACATTTCTGGAACACTGTGTCCTGTGTCCTGAAAAGGTTTTTGCCTGATTGTGTACAGGAAAGTGAGCTGTTTTCACCTGAATTTTATTTTCTGCTGGTTTGGGTTGTTTCTT